ATGAACCAAAAGCTCAGGTTTCACATTGTTCTAAACTCTCATTCTTTTGTAGTCTGGGTTTTGTATGAAAATGGTTAAGGATAAATGGTTCAATATGATCATCATATAATATAAAAATCATATATACCTTAGACAGAAACCTGCTGTGGCTTAACAGACGGCCTGTACCAAAGTCCAGTGTAAGCTTAATATAAAAGAGGACTCGAGTTTGAAAGAAGTATAAAAATTCACCTTCACAAAAAAGACGCTAAACATGCCTGTGATTATTGCCTGTTCCTAAACATGACTGTGTTTCATGTGCTTTTTTTGAATTAATGTGACTTTTCTGCAGGTGTGGTAAGACCACTCAGGTTCCTCAGTTCATTCTAGATGCCTCTTTGAGTGGCCCCGCGGAGCAGGTGGCCAACATCATCTGCACGCAGCCTCGCCGCATTTCTGCCATGTCAGTGGCTCAGAGAGTGGCACAGGAGCGCGCAGAGTGTCTGGGGAACTCTGTGGGCTACCAGATCCGCCTGGAGAGTGTCAGGGTACACATACAGATATAAAAACATCTACAATACAGCATTCTGGTTGTCTGTTTTTTATATTAATACTATATACTCTTCCAACACTGACTGCTCCTTTTTATCAGACTTCAGCCACCAGGTTGCTATACTGCACCACAGGGGTGTTGCTGAGGAGACTGGAGGGTGAGGCGGACCTCAGAGGAGTCACGCATGTCATCGTGGATGAGGTGCACGAGCGAACAGAGGAGAGGTGAGACAGAAATACTTCAGCTTAATGGCACTTGTGTTGTAACGTGTGGAAAAATGAACCTGGAAAAAAAAAATTTAAGCTGCTTCTTTGTTTCTTGTCTCTTAATCTGTTATTTTCAGTGACTTTCTGCTGCTGGTGCTCAAAGACTTGATGGTGCAAAGGCCTGACTTGAAGATTATCCTCATGAGTGCCACTCTTAATGCAAACCTCTTTTCTGACTATTTCTATAACTGTCCTACTATCCACATACCAGGTAAGTTATTAGCAGAACTGACAAATTCTATTCTTACACCTCATTCTATGCATTCCCCTCTTCCTTCTAATAAATGTGTGTTGCTCCAGGGCGCACCTTTCCTGTTGACCAGTTTTTTCTTGAAGATGCCATAGCTAAAACTCGGTAAATACATTTTAAAACATTTAAGTAAACCGTAAACTGTCTTTACAATTTGCGTAGTAACACAACGGTTTGTGTATTGTGCTGTTTTTTTCCAGCTATGTCATTGAGGATGGTAGCCCTTACA